CTAGATGCATTTAGATGAAAATGGATAATCTGCTAATTCCATGACAAGAGTAGCATAATAATATAAATGTAACCTAGCATTAATTCTATCAAGTATATGCAAGAGATAACATAACAAACATCATCTATTAGACACTAAAATGAAAATATTCATTTCACGTACCAGAAGCCTAAGTCCATGATGGGCTAACCCAGCCTGCTCGTAGCTATTCAGAACTGCAGCAACGAAGAACAGCAAGCTTCCTATTAAAAATGGAATATGGACACTCTGTTGCAAGATTTGAACATGCCCGTCGGCCCTCTCGTAGATTTGGCAGGAGTTGTGGATTGATCCAAGCATCCATAAGGCGGGACCGGCAATAAGCATATCGCAAGCACACTTTTCTAGTTTGTAATAAGCATATCCATTGTGTTCCTGCATCAGTGGATTGAATAACAGCACTTATAAAGGGAAGAAAGGAGGAGAATGCAGTATTCAACTTGGAGAGAGGAAAAAACACGAACCTGTAAGATATTAACATTAAGAATGGAAGGAAGTTATCAAATAGTCTCCCTAGAATGCAATCCTCTATCAGAATAACTAAATAGGTGATATTGTATTATATGTAGTTTACAATGATGTTGCTGAAAAGATTAAAAAAAATCTTGATTTAGATTGTACTTTAGTGGACTACCATACTTACTTTCAAATGTTCTCTTTCTTTTCTTATATCAGTGAATTTCCTGATCACAAACTTACACACCTGAACTAATTTCTTGTTACCCGCCTGACCGATCAACATTTAGTTGCCAAAAAAACTTGTAGGATCTTAATATCATAAATAGACAATACTACTACCACGTTTGGATCCATTTCTCCAACGTCCTATTACTTTTTACACATCATTAGTGTTTTTATTAATTATTTAAACCCAAATTTGAATTAATTTGAAACTTGATAGTTAATCTACATGTAGCATACTTGATCATGTAGAGACATCAAATTAGATAAATGAATGAAAAACAGAGAGTTTTTGTTTAAATAATTAAAAAGAATACATATAATGAAGATTCTTTAAATTGTGGAATTAAATAACAGAAAGAAAAACTTCAAATAAAGTTACCTTCATCAGTTTCATGAAACTATATCTAAAAGGTGTGTCAGTGTGTTTGTGTGTTTGTGTGTCTGTTTATATTGGCTACACAAGCACAAGCTCACTACCGGTTGAGATGTTAGATAAGGACGAAATGAAAACTTTTAATCGATCATGGACCAAATTGTAAAAAAGACCTAAACATTTGGAATAAAATATTTATTTAGCTTGAAAGAATCCCGTCAATCATATTGTAGTTTTCCCACTTGTTCTCTCGCATTGACAGATCCTCATTTGCAAGTATAATCAGATCAAGGATTTTCCTACCCCACCATAGCAACTGGTTTTCAGAAGTGGTTTCCTCAAGTACCCCTTTTCAAGTTTCAGTCTCTTTGAAATTTAGTACTCCAACTAAGATATTTTTAGTGCTGGTTAAAAGGATGATCGAGTCTGAACTAAAAATCCACACTAACGTAATGTCCCTCCTAAAAACTCAACATATATAAGTCTCATTTAGTATACTCTCTCGCTAACCTGACATAGCTCAACTAGTTAAACTAGTTAAGACACCTGAGGGATCCTGAGTTATGGGTTCGAATCCCCACTGCCACCTATTGTCCTTAAAAAAAATAGTATTCTCTCTCCATTGAGGCATGGTCCTACTACTAGAAAAGCTACGGAATGAAGAAAAGAGTGTTCAAATTAGCTGTTAGGCCCATTGCCTTATTCCCCTCCCCCCACTCCTTTTTGGTATCCTTGATTTCAAAAATTAAGGGGAAAAAAAGCTTGGTAGTTTTGAACATGATTTCACTCTTGAATCACACAAGTACAAGAAAATTCCACCTTCGATCATTCATACCGATAAAAAGCCAAGAGTTGGAGTTCAGTCACGTCCATAAACTTTTAAGATGATGTCTCTTAAGCCTTTATAGTCTAATATGTCCTGAACTTTCAAAGTTGTGTCTATTTAGTCTCTGTAATCTCTATAGTCTGAAATGTTCCTAATACCTCACTAAACTTTCATCATTGTGCAAAATAGATTTCTTCCATTATTAAGTCCATATTTTAACATTTATGCAGGCTAATTTTAATTTTAGGCAGTTTCAGGCATTTGGTGGTGTAAATGTGTTAAGCGCTTATTTTATAATATCTTTAAAATATAAGGACTAAATAAACAACAACCTCTGAAGTTCAAGTACCTAATAGAATATTTTTAAAGTACAGTGACTAAATAAACACCATCCTAAAAGTTAAAACTAAAGAACAAACTGAACAACAGCAAATTTCAATAAAACCAAACCAAATGCCCAAATGGTCACTCCAAAGTAGCGATTTGAGCGCGAAATAAAACCAAAATCTAAAATCGAGGGTTTAAGTGAGATCATGCCTGTAGGAATTGAATCATAATCAGAGGAAGGAAATAGGAAACGATGAATTGGAACCTGAATTAGAAGAAACAGAGCAGCCAACAAGAAGAGCAAGGCCCCAATCGCCTGAACAATGGGAACCGCAAATTCAACAAGCGCAAGCTGGGGATCGTACTGCACCAAGAGCGGCAACCGGTAATCGATTCCGGCGAGATGTGCGAAGAGATCGTGGAAATTAACGATGGCAATGAGGGCGGAGGCGAGCAAAATTAGGGCCAAACCGGATTTGGCCTCTCGCGAAAGCTGGGCAACGAATCCGCCGAGTAAAACGACGGTGGCGAACAAGTAGAGGCCGGCGTTTATGTACTCCGCTCGGCTCCGAGACCGCCGGGGACCGTATGCCCGGAAATCTCTGGCGGAAACTAGCTTCACCATCACCGTATGATATATAGATTCCTAATTTTAATAAAAATCGATCGAATGGGAGATTTTGCAAGATGAAATGAATTGCTTTGCTGATCTTGGTTTTGGCAGAAACTTGATTTGATTTTGGTGAACAGGTGAATTGGGGAATTTCTGAATGGAAGAGAGAAGGAGAGGTTACGTGGCTGCATGCATGGAGGTGTAATGGTTTCAAAGTTAGAGCAATCAACCATGTGGCATCTCCCCCTCCTAACTTTTCAACTACAAATAAAAACATAGCGAACCGCAGCATATCTCAATACTAATTTACCCCATTAGTTCTATCGGGATTGGAGTTTCGATCTGTATTGGAAAACTACAATTAAATTGTAAATAATATCTCTAATTTTTCTTAAGTTTGAATACACGTTTCAAAAGCGGATTTCCATTAATATTTTGAATCAAAACTCAGAGGTATTATAAATCATAATTTTGTCTTAAAAGATATATGGATTGCTTTTCCACTGTCTACTCGATCTTGTACTAATCTCCATTTAAAAATGATAGTCTTTCTTTTGCATTTTTTCTATTTTCAGACTTAATCAATAAAAGTTTTTACATTAATTAGTTATAAATTATACTATGACAACTTTTCATTCAAATATTAACTAATATTTGTTTAAAGGATATTTTTAAAACGTTTGTGAACGTGAATGCCTAGTGTTGATGTAGAAATTTGGTCTCCTAGTATCTCGCCAAATTCATACCAATTTTCTAGGATAAAAGAGATCGATGAGACTTGCAAAACAGAATAACATTAAGACCAGTGTGGCTCTAGCCACACGAGCTCCGATGCTTAACTTAGGGTTTGGCTTACTGTTGCGTCCACACAACTGTGATGACAATACGTGCAAGTATACACGAAATTGTCGATTGTAGTACGAAACGAGGTCGAATCCACGGAAACTTTGGATAGTATTTTAAACGATGTTTACAGATACCAAAAGTGTAAAAATAAAGGAATATAGATGTTGTGTCGTAACTAAACAATAAAATAAACAAAGCAGTAAACAAATCTCAGTAGTAGACACACTTCATAGAGTTGATAACAAGAAGAAGAAACAACACATAATACGAAAACGAGGAGTTAATGGATAGAGGAAAGTAGGGGAGATTCAACATGCATTCACAGACCTATTAACCAACCCTCTAGCTCACAAATATTCATTGATGCCCAACTCGACTTGGTTCCCTTTCGAGACACCTAACATGGATACCCACAACTCCCGTTGCTAAATTTCCAAGCAATAAAAACAAGTTCTAGGCATGATTAAGGGATCCCATTCATGAGCATTCACAAATACTATATAGAAAAGTACTAATCATTAATGAAACAAGTCTACAAACAGTAAGCCATTTCGGGTCAATACAGAAGCTAGCATACAGAACAAAGTAGTCAATAATGCTCAATAAGATATAAGAAATAAACACAGCTTCATTAAAAAATGAATATAGCAACTAAAGATTCAGTTCATGATAGTTACAACATATGAATCTCCCATGAAATGAGGTTTAGCTCATAAATGAAGTAGAAAATACAATGGGTAAAAGAAGAAGACAACTCATCTTAGGGAAATGACAGAAAACCGAAGAAGAAGATGATGACAGCTCGAAACTGCCGTGGAATATCCCTTATGTCATTAGCTTTCTGTCCCGAAAGTGGAGAGAATCCTCCTCCTTGTCGTTTCAGCTTAAAAAACGTGCTTCTCTTGGGATCTGTGTGTGGCGGCTAGGGCAACATGTCCCTTTTATATCGGGTCCTGTTTTTAGGGCATCCAGCTGAAGTTTGTACGGACACGGTAAATCATTTGTCTGGGCTGTTATTGCGCAGTGAATCCATGCTCCAGCTCGGCTTCGCTCTAGCTTTCGTCTGCCCTGACTTGAACATGCTTCATCCACTCTTCTCTAGGTTCAACACCCTTTTCATACTTTATCTTCCTTTTCCAAACCTGTGCAATTACACCAGAATTAAGAGACTTTTGCGCACTTTTTAGCCAAAACATTCAAGACCTGGGACTTTGGCTCGATATTCGATTTATAAGATTTTTTTAAGAGCTAAAACTGACACACTTTGACAAATCCTTGTATAAAACCACTCAAATAAACACTAGAATAACTCTCTTTTGGAAAGTTATCACATACTTCCCTATTTATAAAAGTTGAACCTTGATCCCTCTAGGGACTGTGGAATTCGAATCCTGATACATCTAGGAAACCTAGTTATCTGGGCCAGCGTATCTTATTATGGGCTTGTCGTTAGATTAACAGTTGGGACGCGATGGGTTCGGGCTGGCATGCATCGCGGTTGAGTCGAGTCTTCTAGAGTTCTCAATCGGGGAGTCGAGAATTGCTCGATGCCGACCATTAGTCAGTTAGGGCCGGCTTGGGTCGCCGAACACTAACCCCATTTTTGGTTTGTGTCTTCTTTGACTCAGTATTAAAATTTTTAAAAGTCTATATGAATATTTTTTTGAAGGTGGAGACAAATTTCGAGTGGTTTCTTTTTCGTGTAATTTAATTAAAAAAACTATATTTGATAACTATTTATTGTCTATCGATCTTCCTTTTAAGTGGAAAGAAAAATTATAAGAAAGAAAAATTATAATGGTGCGCAGTCCATGGTCTAATTTTAAATAAAAGAAGTAGAAATTTTATACGAAAATTAATTTTATAAATGATCAAATTTTTTATGTTATAAATTTTTTAATATTTATAATGTATTTATAAATTGTCATGGAATGCTTCCCAGGACACTCGAGCTCTTAATGCCAAGCTGTATTCTCATTATGGATAAAATAATATTTTTATTAACGTGAATCAAACTGTAATAAAAACAGTCGAACCGAACATAGTTGATTAATAATTGAAATATAGCTCAACTATTTTATCCTCTTGACTACTCTTGACAGCTCCATCAATTTTTTAAAATTTATTTTATTGATGAACTTATTCCAGGAGGGACATTTCTGAAATTCTCATTTACAAATTTGATTTTCGAAAAAGCCGTTCCATTCTCTAAAACCCTTTGCCCAAAACCCTCGCCATTTCCTCTGCGCACAGCAATGGCGGCAGAAACACAATGAACACTTGGTTGCATCCAAACTCAGTTTATCCAGCGCCCATACTCCTCGACTCGGCTGAATCACACGCGAATTTGGAAAACCGGCTGCCATTTCTCTGTCTTCGAAGCTTTTTCGAACATCCATCAACAAACGAGTAGGATAAAATTTGAAGCATGAATCTTTCCATTTTCTCATCCCCTTGACTGATATTCATCTATGCTCTGTAAATTTGCGAAACCCAGTTAATTCCGTCGCCCATAGTTCTCGTTTTCATGCACGCCATTGATACAGCGAAGCAGAGGCTTCACATTGAGGGGGAGAGGTCAGTTTTCTTATAATTAACACACACCATCTACTCATAGCAGAGACTTATTAGGATTGGTTGCGGTGGAATAACAATGCAGAAGCCTTAAGAGAAGGAAGAAAATAGAAACAATAGCTAGTTCCATTCTCATTTCTGGATTCATAGTTTAGAGTTAAGATTCACCTGCTTATTTAATTACTATATTGCTATTGTCTGTGATATATAGTCATATTGATGAGAACTTTTGGTCATCTGTTCATTTGATTAGTAAGTGAAGTTATCTCAATTTATCAATTAAGATAATTATTTGGTGACCTTGACTAGATATTTCATGTTTCTATCACTTAAATTATTGCTTCACATTTTGTTATTTAACCAGGCACATTTTCCGGCTCTATGATTATAAGTGCCGTTTCAACCTCCATCAGAAATGTTGAGGGTGTCTTCATCATTTGGAACATGGAAGCATAATCGTTGGAAAGCTAGTTTGACACTATTTCCGACTATATTTAAAAGTTTACATACTGAAAACTCCAGTATCATTTCTACCAATATTTGTATAAGTCGTCATGTAAGAAATGGTCGTCTTGATCTTGCTCAAACTCTGTTCAATGAAATGCCGGTAAGAAGTATTGTCTCATGGAATGTCATGATTTCTGGATACTCCAAATTAGGACAGTACGGTGAAGCTCTCAATCTGGCTTCAAAGATGCATTGCAACAATGTAAAATTTAATGAGAAGACTTTTTCTACTTTGTTGAGTAGTTGTGCCCATTCAAGGTGTACATTTGAGGGAAAACAACTTCATTGTTTGGTTTTGAAATCTGGGTTGCAGATTTTTGAGCTTGTGGGAAGTGCATTGTTGTATTTATATGCGAACATCTATGACATCACTGGAGCTAAGCAGGTTTTTGACGAGTTGCATAATAAGAATGGTTTGTTATGGAGCTTGATGCTTGTGGGGTATGTGAAATGCAATTTTATGGACGATGCTTTTGATCTGTTTACAAAAATTCCGAAACGAGATGTGGTGGCATGGACTACATTGATATCGGGGTATGCAAGAAGTGAGAACAACTGCAAGAGGGCATTGGAATTATTCTGCTACATGAGGATGAATGGTGAGGTGGAGCCTAATGAGTTCACTTTTGATTGTGTTGTGAGAGCTTGTGGGAGACTGAGAGATTTGAGTCAGGGGAAGGTTGTTCATGGGATTTTGACTAAATATGGACTCCATTTCGATCATTCAATTTGTGGTGCACTGATTTTGTTTTATTGTCAGTGTGAAGCTATTGACAATGCCAAGGCAGTTTATGATAGTATGGAAAGACCATGTTTAAATGCTTCAAATTCACTTCTTGAGGGACTGATATTAGCAGGAAGATTTAACGATGCTGAGGAGATTTTTAACAAACTAAGAGAAAAAAATCCAGTTTCATATAATTTGATGCTTAAAGGGTATGCAATCAGCAGCAGAATTGAAGAATCAAAGAGATTATTTGAAAGAATGACCCATAAAACTACAATTTCAACTAACACTATGATATCCGTGTACTCCAGGAATGGTGAAATTGAAAAAGCTTTGGAATTGTTTGAGTCAATGAAAGGTGAAGGAAATCCTGTGACCTGGAATTCAATGATATCAGGCTATATTCAAAATCATCAGCATGAAAAAGCTTTGAAACTTTATCAAACCATGTGTAGAACATCAGTCGAGCGTTCTAGATCGACATTCTCTGCTCTGCTTCAAGCATGCACATGCCTAGGATCTATTCAATTGGGTCGATCACTCCATGGCCATGCAATCAAGACAGCCTTTGACTCTAACGTTTATGTTGGAACATCACTCATAGATATGTACTCAAAATGTGGGAGCATCTATGATGCTAAAACCTCGTTCACCAGTATCTACTCCCCTAATGTAGCAGCTTTTACCGCCCTAATCAATGGATATGTGCAACACGGGCTTGGGATTGAAGCATTCTTAGTCTTCGAGGACATGTTAAAGTGCAAAGTTGTGCCAAATGCAGCTACTCTTTTGGGGATTCTTTCTGCATGTAGTCATGCTGGTATGGTAAATGAAGGAGTGACACTTTTCCAATCAATGGAAAAATGTTATGGTGTGATTCCAAATTTAGAGCACTATGCATGTGTGGTGGATCTTCTCGGTCGATCAGGACGTCTGTGTGAAGCTGAAGAATTTATCAGAAACATGCCAATTGAAGCTGACGGGGTGATTTGGGGAGCTCTGCTAAATGCTTGTTGGTTCTGGATGGACTTGGAATTGGGTGAGAGTGTGGCTAAGAAGATCCTTAGTTTGGATCCCAAAGCAATATCTGCCTATGTTATTCTGTCTAATATATATGCTATATTAGGCAAGTGGGTTGAGAAGATCAATGTGAGGAGGCGATTGAGGAGCTTAAAAGTGAAAAAGGATCGTGGATGTAGTTGGATCGATGTAAATAATAGAACTCATGTATTCTCTGTAGAAGATAGATCCCATCCTAACTGTAATGCAATTTATGCAACTTTGGAGCATCTGTTAGCAAATGTATACTCTATAGCTCAATTTGACTATGTTCCCAAGTCAATTTCGGAGGATTCGTTTTCGAATTCAATACAATCCCTTTGATTAGCTCCTTATATATATATATTTTCTTCATTCAATCACCTCGAGAACATGTTCGACCATTACGTTTTTCACATTGAGAACTGTCCTCCTAGTGAAAGTGAAGGTAAGGTCCTGTTTTCCTTCTTGGAGTGCTCCATGAATTATATTAACACAGTTTTGGAGGATGTATGATTTCTTTCCCACACGTATGATTCCAGACAGTTTTAGTATTCCAATTCAAAAAATTTCTGGTAGACAACATTAAAAGAATAACATTATCATTTTGATTGAATTCCAGAAAATTTTTGGTAAACGACCCTTACACTCCTTACTTTTGTCTTACAAACGTATGATTATGAAGGTCGTGAACTATTTAGAATTTTAGCATTAAATTCTTCAATAGTCTAACCATTTATTTATTTTTTAAGAAAAGCAATGAAGAGAATTTTCTCTCTCTCTTAGTACTTTAACTAATTTTTTAGACCTAAACTACAATTCACTTGAATTGGTAATTTTTTTGCTTTAAAGTTACCCTAAACCATAACATCGAGTAACAATAATTTCATTGCAACACACAATATTACATCGCGACTTCACTAGTAAGTGGAGAAAAACTCTAAGAACCAAATCTTTATTTAAACTATCGAAAAAAAATCATACGTACAAATGCGTATAATTAGAAGTTTGAAATACTTTTAATTTCTCGAGAAGACATTCAACTGATACTTTTCACCTCTACAAGAGGCACTCGTAGAAGAGAATAAAAGTTCTAAATATCAAAACTATATCTAAAATACACGAAAAAGAACCGTCAAGTATATATGTAGACCCGATGTACTTTTAGCTTCTAGGAAGATGATCTCTTCTTGAGATTAGAGAGATCAAATTGTTGCACTAAACTTTGGGAACTATTTTGGAATGTGGGTGTGATCAAGCATTATTATTATTCTTCTTATTTTCCAAGTCCCAATTGGGCAGAGGCTCTTTCACATCTTCTTCTTCCTTCTTCACAACTTGATGTTGTTGTTCTTTGTTCCTATAGATGCAATACAGCACAATTTGTAGCAACCCTACTGGGCTTCCCACTAGATTTGGAGACTGCAAAAAATTAAATTAAAAAAGTTTCACAAAGTTTGCTAATTCTCAGTTTAATTTGTATGGAAAACAAAAAAGAGAGATTATTTTTGGTAATACAAACCGCAAGGAAGAGATCATGGGTGAGGAGTCCATAAGCCAACCACAGGGAACTCGCGGAGAAGGAGAAGAATGAAAGATAGAACGGCATGTACTCAACACTCTTTGTCTTTATTACTTGTCTCTGAAGAAAGAGATCGGGAAAAGAAAAGAGAGATCACCATGGTGACACTATACAAATTAATAATTTTCGGCAACAAACAAAAACAAAATTGTCGCTAAGAATTGCAACGACAGCGACGTAGACTTTTTATTGATGGGTTTCGATTTGAACCTAAAAAACTAGGCAAAATAAATATTTTGAAGAAAATTAGTTGCTTGCAATGTGTTTGAAAAATAATTTTAAAAAAGCTGTATAAAATAAAATGTTATTTCTTAGTGACAAAAATATATAGTTGGTCTCTTGCACAGAAAATTTCAAGTGTGGATATATATTACTTTTATTGATTGGGCGTAGCTACATCTGCATCATTTAATAATGACATGAAGTCTGCTAACATTAAATAATTATTTTTAAATGAAAAGTTATGATGTAAATGAACCGTACGACATTTCATCATTGAGTTATGATCAGATTGACAGATAGATCGAAACGAGAGATTCACACAGAGATTCGAGGATTACCATGGCTACCAAGGGAGAAGCATACATAGCAACAGAAGCAACAAGGCCAATGCTTCCCACAAAGAGCTTACGAAGATGGTGAGTGTGGAGAACAAAAGTTGAGATCATTCCCACACAGCAGAAAACTGTAACAACTGC